GGCGGCGGCGGCTAAGGCGGGGGAGGGGAAGGAGGCATGAGAGAGGGCGGAGGCGGCGTGGGTGGGGGTCGGCGCGGCGCCTCCTGGCATCCTTTCCCATCGCCTGGCGGTGGAGGCGGAAGCGGAGGCGGCGCTGAAGCGCCAGCGACGCAGACTAAAACACACCGTCGTCGTCGCCAGCGTTTCTCAGCGGTGCGGGGCCGGCCATATCTAGTAAGCAAGCCATTCAGCCGGCTTGTCGGGCGCTAGAAACATCGTCCGAAAAGCTAATAAATCCTGCCGCTAAATGAACATCACCGTCTGCAGACGCGGGACCGCTCCCCTTTCCTCCTTAATTCCTCTCCCTCTCATTTATTTCCCGTTCGCTTTGAGTTGGAAGTGGCTCAACACTCGTTTACTGTAGGATGCAGGCTAAATCAAACAGCTAGACCTGAAAAATTCTGTCAACATTTTCTTATATTTGGCAAAGGAGGTTCGAATCGATGAAAATAAAATATTTTTCAATGGAAATAGCAATTCGAGAGCGAAGCTAACTCGTGAAATCTATCTTGTAATCTCCATAAAAATCTAATTTCAAATTTTCTAAATCCTAAATTTGTAGTAAAAAATGAAAAAAAAATGCTTCTAATAAATATTTCAAGAATATTTTAAAGATTAATAATTTAAGCAAGAATTTAAACTACGTTACTGAAATTTACAACTGTAACTATAAAATTTATAACTTTTTTTTTCACGTAACAGTAACTTGTCAGAAAATAGAAGACCCGTTAATTAAAATGTTCGTTTAGAATTCAAAATATTTTATATTAAATTTAAACCTTTTATTAAACTTCTAGGATATTTACGGACACTTGATCTCAACACAAAAGCTAACTGTAGCAATCTCAACTTCTCCGCTCCGTTTTGACACGCCTGAAAGCTGGACGTCTGGTTTTGATTCCACTGCCTCCGCCTCCGAAGCAGTTAGTCTGTCATTCCGCTGGACTTCCGCCTGACGCACAAACTTCGCATTTCGTAACGCGCCCTAACTGTATAGTTGCTTTCCATTTGTTGAAAGTGATCGAATTAGTTTAATGTTCATGAAGTGACACTAGCGGAGATATTAACGCCCTTCACGAAAACGTCCTTTACCGCGAAAGTAGATAACGCGCGTGTCCGATAATCCGATCCCGTCAGATTTAATGGGAGGTGCGGCGAGTCGAGGCCTACCCCGCCCAGGGGGCCCCAAGTTTTCGGGCAGGAGTTGGGGGTGGGCCCCTCCGGCCTCCGCGTCCTCTCCCTAGGTTCGCGCAGCCCTTATCGGGCGGGCGGCGGCGGCGCAGGCGGTGGAGGCGGAGGCGGAGGCGCAGGCGGCGGCGTTAGGCGCCTGGGGCGTTTCGGGACGCCGCCCACGACACTCCTTCGAAGCGGTCCTCTCGGCCGTGCCTCCTGCGACCACGCGCTCCGCCGCCGCCGCCGTCGCCTGCACCGCCGCGCAAACCGCATTCGCATCGATTTCGGAAGAGAGCCTTTTCCCTTCGACTTACGAACGCCCAACTAAAAGCAATACGGAACGCCAGAAATGGAAGAGAATTTTCCAAAAGTTGATTTAGTGTCTAGAAATTGTGTTGTACGAGGTTCGACGTGACCGGAAAATCTGCGAAGTTCTGTGTCTGTCAAACGACTGAAACTTGGAAAAAAAGAGAGAATTAAAAATGCGTGAGATGATGTAAAAATAATGTGATTATTAATTTAAGAAATTATGGTGAGGAAAGGCGCAACTAACGAAGCGGAAGATGAAAAAAAGAAATAAGCAAAAAGCAAGAACATTACATAAATTGGATCTTTTTTGACAGCAGCTTTTTCGAAGAGACGCGAGGAACCTCACAGTCAGCAGATATAGGAGGTAGTGCTTTAATCAAAGATGATTAAAATTGGTGAATATGACACGACGAGTATATCTACATAAACATGGTGAAACAAAACCTGAATAGAGTGGTGTGTACGATGGATTCTTAGAACAACTCTTGATGCGATCATTTTCACATCTTTCTGAAAGTCGGAATTAACTGTGAGATATACCGCATATATAACGATCTTAGGAGCAGAGCACGAGTCTCATAGCGTAGGAGAGCAGTCCCTCAGTCCGAGCTCTCGGAACGTGGGAAGATCTCCATGTCTGGAACTATATACCGGCCATCTGATGACACGCGATTGACGCCCTATGCGTGGAACGCAACCGTGCTCCAATAGCATCAAAGACCACTTATACGGAACGCGCGATTACATCGCGTTCGACGATGGATGAGAATTTGCTCAGCGGCAGTCTATGGTTATGGCGAGGAACAGACCGTCAAGCAAACTTTTAGCGTATGCGCAATGGAACATTTTTTCCACGCGGAATAACTCTTCAGTAGCTGTACGTCTATGCTTCAGTAGTCAGTCTATGCAGTAGTCATGCAATCAGTAGTCTATGTAGTAGTCAGTCAAATTTCGAGTCCCAGGTGTCAGATCAGAAGAAAGTGTCTAGAACACGGGAAGCTGTTCATCTTGTAAATAAAAATATTGGATAAGATGGGCTCTCGTAAGGCAGGAGTTGAATGGAAGTGTGCGTATGGAGAAGGTGCGAGGTGCGCAAGGGCATTGGCAACTCGAAGGCGGTGGCGGCGGATCGCTGGCGTGGGCGGCGCCGCGCGTCGCGCTCTTGACCGCTGCTGCTGTTTTGTTTCGGGCGCCGTAAGCGGTGGCGCAAGCCACGCCGGCGGCGCTTACGGACTATTGCTCGCAGCACTTAATATTCATTAGAGCGCAACTTACACGCTCGCCTGCGGAGCACGTAACCAGATCTACCATAATTTCGTGCATTGAATTGGCTATATAGTAGCCTCATCCCCATCTCCGGCCCTTCCCTTCGCCTACCCTACACCAATTAGAATTCCTTGACCAAACGAATGGTCCTATGAAGATTAAATCTCGGATTATCTGAAGATAAAGTCCTCTTAAGTTAAACTAAATCTTCCGTTCCTCGTTCTCCCTCGTATATATTACTAAGAATAGCTTCGTCGGGAGGAATATTCTTTTCGATGCAACTGCTAATTTCATAACTATGACGAATGACGTCGCCTCGGGCTGCGAGAGGGAGCACGCGCCTCCCAGAGGAAATACTATTCGGCACAAGGAGGGATGCCGGCGCAGTTTCTCTTAGGCGTGAGCCTCCACCTGCTCATCTGCCTCCCCCACCCCGCGCCCTCCGCCTTCCTCCCGCCTGCCCCCCCTCCCCACCTTCCTTGTCCCCCGCTCCGCGCACGCTATCTTCTTCGCGGGAACAGTTCCCTTCTCACGTTCAGCCCTCGGGAGGATTCCTCACTCAGCTAGCAATGCTGCGAATTTATCCGCGGAGAGGCACTTAGAAGTTTTTGAAACTCTCGAGTTTCCTGTTCATTACCGATTTTACATTTCAATTAATAGCGTTCGAGGTAATTGCAGCCGAGCGAGATATATGCGCACAATTATCTGGAGAACTGAATGGCTGCTGCCGGGAAGGAACTTACAAGTGAGTCATTTGTAGTGGTAGCTTCTTCATATAAAACAAAAATTGTTCTACATTCTTCTCATTATCGATACTACTTGAAATCATATCATGTTACACTTTATTTAATCCGATATCCCCTGCAGTTCAAATAATTCCATCTAATAATACTAAACACCGATATTGTTCTCGTTATACGCGCAATAGGAAGGAAATTCAAATTAAAACAATTACGTAGTACCTTGTTTTCAGAGCGTATGAAAGGTAATTTTCAATAGGTATTTCGTTACAAACAAAAAACTTAAATTATTTTCAAGTTAAAAATAATTACTTCCTCACTACTATGAAGCATAATTGAACCTAAGTAAAATATTGATGAACATCAATCAAAAAATATCTCAAATGATATCGTAAGCATTGGAAACTTTTGGAGTTAAACGTTTGTTGCCGGACCAAATAACTGTAAAATAGTGGACCATTTCTTTTTTTAAGACAAGGTGCGCAAAAAATTAATCTGAAAATTCATTTTTTCGTAAATTTATTATAATGAAGAACTGAGAAGATAGTAAATTACATTCAGTGTAATAAGTAAAATAAATAGAGCTGGACAGTGAACGTCTCCCCTTCACGAAAGTCACATGCATTTGTAGTATGCAAAATGTCATATAGGAGTGTTTTAGAGATGTACATATGTTTATAATCAAGGCAGATAAAACTGGAGGAGACATGAAGTTAAAAATCAATGTAATTACTTTACACTATTCTTACGACATTAAATGCTCATTTTATATTTCATAGACTGTTACTGGTCTTCTACATTGCACGAGTTACTTTCAGTAGTACAAGGTACAAACAATATTATATTTTCCAAAAAATCTTGTGCGATGTCTCGCTTGTCTACCCCTAATTATGATTGATAAATAGATAATATGTTTATTTTAGGTCACATTAAAGA